ATTCCCACCCTTTGTATGCATAAGCACTTCTAGTATTCAGTAGAACACAGATCTGGGGACTGCTGTGAGGGACGCTGCAGATGTCATTAAGCTTCCAAATCAGTGAAGCTTAAGACAGGGAGATTATTGGGGTGGCCTGACCTAATGTCACGTGATCTTTAAAAGCAGAGAATTTTCTATCTGGTCTGTGAAAGGAAAGCAGAGATTCAAATTGTGACAAAGATTCAGTGTTGAGAGGTGGGTCTCCATTGCTGGCTTTGCAGATAGAGGGGGCCACAGGCCAGGAATGCGGGTGGCCTCTGGGACCTGACAGCAGCCCCCGTTTGACAGACAGCAAAGCACCCGCACCTTGATTCTGCAGCCACCAGGAACTGAATCCTGCCACAACCAATGGACTGGAAGGAGACCTGGCCGCCACCTTGCTTTCAGCCCAGCCAGCCCCAAGCAGACTCCATGTTTGCCACTTCTGGACTGGTGACCGCAGAAGCAGGGAGGTAACGTGTGTTGTATGATGTCGCCGCCTTTGTGGAAATCTGTTATGCAGCAATACAATAGCCCTAACCCTCTTTGGTAGCTGTGACAGAGGCTTGGGGACATTTTGCTGGGAGAGAGCTTGGTGCCAGGCTCTGGGCAGCCCAGGTGTGGCTGACACTCTCAGATGTGGGGGTGTGCCTCAGGGTGCCAGCCGCCTCTGTGTGGCCAGAGTGCCTGCCTAAGGGCAGAGGTCACAGAAATTCATGGTGACCCACAGGCGTTCCATGGGAGCTCCAAATCCAGTTCTCTTGTCCTCTAATTTAAGAAGTCTCTGGCAACCCCCCCCCCCCCCACAACAAACATACCCAGTCTGTTTTTTGTTTTTCTTTTTCCGGCGGGCGGCTGGTGCAGGGATAGAATCCTGGACCTTGGTATTATCAGCACTATGCTCTAGCCGATTGAGCAAACCAGCCAGCCCTCACACCCGGTCTTGAAGGAGGCCTTGGCAGGCCAGGGCCCTGAGTTCTCCCCCCTCAGCCCCTCTGTTTCCTCCCCTCCGCAGCCTGCTCTCTCTCCTACAAGGGACAATTAGTGGCCTCAGCTTTAATTAGCTAACGATCCACTTCAGCTCCAATCACTTGAAATGATGATGGAGTGATGGGGGAGGGGACCTGGAGCTCAGGGATCCCAGGAGGGAGGGACGAGGCCCTTCAGGTCCCGTGGGCTTCTCTGCCAGCCCTGAGCTCACCCCTCCTCACAGTCACGGGAGATGGGCCATGGCGAGCTCGACAGGAGGGTGCCCCAGGATCTGAGGTGCACCTTCCTATGTTCTGTCACCCCAGGGCCTTATCTGTGTCCTGTGGCAGGGGCTGAGCCGCTGTCCTGGCCTGTCCATCACTGTGAGCCTAAGGGGCCTTGTTGCCAGAGCTCGAGGTCCCCAGGCCTCAGACTCTCCATTGCCCTCTCTTCCTGCCCCTTAGTCACCTTCCCACCCTGGCTCTGTCAATCTGTCCCCACCCCTGACTACCTGCCTTTGGTTGGCCCAGGCCTTACCACTCAGGCTGGACAGGAAGGACAGGGTATTAGGAAAATCTTGGGACCTAACGAAGCTGAAGAAGAGAAACCATCATCATGAAAATACTGAGTCACAAGGTAATGTCAGGTGGGAACAACTGTAGTACAGGATGTCCCTAGTGCAGCAAAGAGAATACGGCTGGGTCACGTCAGTCAGCGAGATCCAGGAAGGGCCCTTGGGGGTGGGGACATCTGTAAAGGAGGACATGGCCCCACTGCACGTGTAAGGTTCCTCCCAAGGTCACTGGGCAAAGCCGGCCTTGGCACCCAACCAGCTCCTGGGCCTGAGATACCGTAGCCCTGAACTGCCTTCCCTGGGGTCTCTGCCTTCCCTGCAGAGATGTCCTCTCATCAGCCAGCTCCTGGTGTGCAAGTGCCTGAGGCTCTGAATGTGGCAGGCACAGGGTCAAGTCTCAGCTTCAGGAGATATTAGCTGGTGAACTTGGGCAGCTTCCTTTCCTTCTCGGAGCCTCAGCTCCCCCTCAGTATATACTGAGGCCAACAACCAGGCTTTCTCGTGGGCTTGCTGTGAGACTCAGCATGGACGGGTAGCTGCAGGGCCGGGCACGGGGGGCTTTGGGAGCTGCTCCCACGCGTGACTGTGCAGGTCCCACCCAGGGCTGTCACAGGCCCCTGCAGGTTGGAGCAGGTCTTGCTCCATTCAGCCCAGCCCAGGCCCTGTGTCCCCATCCTGGGCCATGCCCCAGGCTCCGGGTGAGCATAGAGGGGCACACACCTCTCCCTGCGAGGAGACGCCCTTCCTCGGCTTGCTCAGGTGGCAGCTGCGCAGCCATGGGCCTGTCAGGAGGTCCTGGACGCTTGAGACAGACCTGAAGGAGGGACACAGGGCTGGGAACCAGGCACTTGGGCAGAAAGGATATCTGAACAAAGGCACAGACGTGTCGTGCGTGCAGTGGGCTTGAGGAGGAGACCACTCAGATGACCATGAGAGGGCNGGACTGGAAGGAGACCTGGCCGCCACCTTGCTTTCAGCCCAGCCAGCCCCAAGCAGACTCCATGTTTGCCACTTCTGGACTGGTGACCGCAGAAGCAGGGAGGTAACGTGTGTTGTGTGATGTCGCTGCCTTTGTGGAAATCTGTTATGCGGTAATAGAACAGCCGTAACCCTCTTTGGGAGCTGTGAAAAAGGCTTGGGGACATCTTGCCAGGAGGGCGCTTGGTGACAGGCTCCAGCAGCCGAGGTATGGCTGGCAATCTCAGGTGTTGGGGTGTGTTTCGGGGTGTTTGCCACCTCTGTGCTACCACATTGCTGGTCCAGGAGGCTGTGGGGACGGTGCATGGAAATTCACGGTGACCCAAGGTATTCCATAGGAGCTCACATCAGGCGTGGTCGCCCTCCATCCCACAGTTCTACTCTCAGGAATCTCTGACAACCCCCCAGAAAAGCACCAATCTAGAAGGAGGTCACAGCAGGGTTAGGACACTGTGCCCTCCTGTCCACCCCCCCAAGTTCCTCTGAGCCCCTCTGTTTCCTCCCCTCTGCAACCTGCTCTCTCTCCTACGAGGGACAATTGGTGGCCTCAGCTTTAATTAGCTAACCATCTCCTTCAATCACTTGAAATGATGACAGAGTAATGGGAGACAGGACTTAGGGCTCAGGGACATCAGAAGGCAGGGACAAGGCCCTTCAGGTCCCGTGGGCTTCTCTGCCAGCCCTGAGTCCACCCCTCGTCACAGTCACAGGCGATGGGCCATGGCGAGCTGGACAGGAGGGTGCCCCAGGATCTGAGGTGCACCTTCCTATGTTCTGTCACCCCAGGGCCTTATCTGCATCCTTTGTCAGGGGCTGAGCTGTGTCGTGGCCTGTCTATCGCCCTGGGCCCAGGCGACATGGCTGTCAGAACTCAAGGTCCCCAGGCCTCAGACTCTCTGCTGCCGTCTTCCTTTCCTTCTCGGAGCCTCAGCTCCCCCTCAGTATAAACTGAGGCCAACAACCAGGCTTTCTCGTGGGCTTGCTGTGAGACTCAGCATGGACAGGTAGCTGCAGGGCCCGGCACAGGGGGGCTTTGGGAGCTGCTCCCACGCGTGACTGTGCAGGTCCCACCCAGGGCTGTCACAGGCCCCTGCAGGTTGGAGCAGGTCTTGCTCCATTCAGCCCAGCCCAGGCCCTGTGTCCCCATCCTGGGCCATGCCCCAGGCTCCGGGTGAGCATAGAGGGGCACACACCTCTCCCTGCGAGGAGACGCCCTTCCTCGGCTTGCTCAGGTGGCAGCTGCGCAGCCATGGGCCTGTCAGGAGGTCCTGGACGCTTGAGACAGACCTGAAGGAGGGACACAGGGCTGGGAACCAGGCACTTGGGCAGAAGGGATATCTGAACAAAGGCACAGACGTGTCGTGCGTGCAGTGGGCTTGAGGAGGAGACCACTCAGATGACCATGAGAGGGCAGGACCAGGAGGCCTCAGGAGCCACAACAGACCGAGGTCACAGAGGGCGTGGGGACACAGGCAGGCCAAGAGCCGGCCCAGGGGGGTGCAGGAAGAGGACACCCCCTTCCCTAGTCAGGAAGGGGGACTAAGGGCCAGAGCTGGAGACAGGAAAGGGCTGGGAGGAGCGGGGAAGCGATAAGTCACACCAAGGCTGAGACACCGGACTTGAGAAGACCCAAAGCCGAGCTGGCTGGGAGCGCAGTGAGCGGCAGATACCGCAGGTGCAGGCAGGCCCTGGGGACAGAGCCCTGGCGGCACCTGGCCCGGCATCCAGGGGACGGAGGGGAGCAGGAGCCAGGGAGGCGGGATGGGG